CTGCAGTGATTGCTGTCTCTTCCTTAACGAAAATCAAGGCCACATGAAACATTACTCAGGTCTACTCTTCATTCATTCAACAACACTTATCAGAGCATAGTAGGAGCCTGCATTGTGCAGATGTGGGAGCTGCTACAGTGAGACCCAAGCGGCCATGGTCCATGACTTCACAGACCTCAGCCTACTATAATAGCTGCCAGGGAGCCGCGCTCAGTCGCTTCGGTCGTGTCCGACTCTTTGCGACCCCATGGACTGCAGCCCGCCAGGCTCCTCTGTCCATGGGATTCTCCAGGAAAGAATACTGGAGTGGGTTGTGGTGCTTCCTCCAGGGATCTGCCCAACCCAGGTCTCCCTCATTGCTGGCGGATTCTTGACCGCTGAACCCCCGGGGAAACACTATTATGCTGTACATTCAACAAAGATTACACGAATACTTGCACAACTTGAACAGAACTGAGGAGAATTCCAGGTGTTGCAAGTCTTAGGATAGTTTTTCTTAAGAACTGACATTTGAAGAACAATCTCAATCGCAATGGAGGTTAACTAAGGGAAGAGGCAGGGAGGAGCGCCCAGGCAAAGAGAAGAGCTGCTGCAGAGGCCCTGGGGTGAAGGACTTCACATCATGTGAGGATCTATCTAAGAGAAGCCAGGGGAGACCGGGACAAAATCATACATGGGGCCTCATGCCCATCCTAACGAGTTTTGATCTTTCTAGGAGTAATCAGAAGCTTTACAGAGTTTCAAGGAGACAATGCCATGATCGGATTTACCTGCCCCGTGCTTCAGAGCAGGCAAGGCCTGGTTTTGCCCACCCGGTTCGCTCCAGCGTCCAGCCAGCGCCCGCTGTCAGCGTGTTCTTACGCAGGCGTCTCAGGAACGGATGAGAGCGCAAAGCCGGCCGCACGGACAGCGGCGGGGGTTGGGTCGCCGCGCCGGGGAGGGGCGGGCGGCGGTTGGCGCTGGGCACCTCGGGGACCTGAAGCGCGACAGAGTCGGCGCGCTCGGAGCTCTCGCTTCCGCGGAGGCTGCGTCTGGTTCTCGGCGAAGGGCCTAAGAGTCCTAAGTCGGCGGAACCCACCGGCCTCTGGGCCCAGAGCCCGCAGAGCCCCACGGCGCCCAGGTGAGCCTCGCGGCCCAGGTGGGGCAGCCCGGCCGGCCCGGAAGCCCCTGCGCGTAGCGCCGGGCGCTCCCGCCGCGGTGCGGGCGGCCGCCATCTCCGGGCTGCGGCGACGCCGGCGACGGGCGTGCTGGGCAGTGGGAGGTGTCCTGGCGGCGGTGCGACCTCGCGGCGAGGCCTAGGCCCGCGCGGACGGTGGGGAGGGCGCTCCGGGCGTCTCGCAGAGACCCGGCCGCTGGCGGGGCGGAGACCCGGCGGGGCGGCGGTTTGCTCCTGCTCGGCCAGGCCCTGGAACCCCCGGCTCCGGCCTCTGCCCGACTATAAATTCATTATTTGTCGCAGTCGGAAAAGTGGAGCCGACGTCACAGGAAAGGAAGCGCAGGAGCCGAACCTTCGCTGCCGGGGAGCACCGGGTTAGCATTAAGGTGTCTTTCCTTCCAGTCTCCTTTTCCCTGCAAAAATGAGCCGGCTGTATTTTTGCAGAGCCCGGATCACAAAGTGCTGCAGCCTGGCTTCTTTGTCTTACCAATACATCCCACGCGTCTGCGTGCGCTGGTGTTTGTCTCCATCCTTTTTATTGGCCGCGAGCGGGTGCTTTGGTGCCAGGTTTTCCGCGCCTGACCAGGGCTGGACGCTTGTTGAGTGACAGGACTGTGATTCACTCCACGGATTATCTCCACGATGGTGAACATACGGGTGGTTTTCACCAAAAACGATTCGTTGAGCACTGTTCCCTCTGGTTTTTTTATTGTGTAGAGAGGCTTGCGGTACCCATTGGAAAATGCTCCTTGGAAAAGTTATTCGCGTTTTTTGTGCCTCACATTTGGGAACACCTGGCTCAGAGAGCTAACTGACAGACTTTGCTGGAGGTCCCAGTGCTGATCCCGCAGGCACCGTCAACACCTCTTTGTTAAGTTTGACGTGCCTTGTGCAATAGCTGGCCTTACCTAGAGCTCTGCTGAAAAGAAACTGAATACCTTAGTAATTTTTAAAACCGACTTAGGTTTAGCTTGGATAAAGCATTACAGTCCCCAGTACAATTAAACCTAAGTTAAAGCAAAATTCAGGCTGGGATTAGATAAATAGTGGAAACGTTTTAAAGTCCTACTCTGAAACATGGATGTTGAGTTGCTAGGAGAGGGATTTTAAGTGATTATGCTGAGGGGTGTGTCTCTAGAGACTCAAGAAACTTGCCGTAAGGACATGTAAACTTTCAAGTAAGTGACATTGTCCTTATCAGTGAAAACAAATGGAATTTGTTTTTCCATCCTTTTTGCTTACATTTTAAAAGCTGTGTGCTGAAATAGAGGGGATTTTTCTTTGTAATGATCATTTTCCAGTTTGATCTCCTTGAGATCAAAACTGATAATTAAATGTATGTATAAGTTTAAAATGACAGTGGATGAATTCCTTTCTCTCAAGTTTTAAAGCATAGGCTTCCCTGGTCTTCCCACCCATTTGGCAGGGCCAGGATCCTTTCTCTGGGGGCCTTTTCTGGTTCTTTGCTGTTGTTTAGTCCCTGAGTCGTGTCTGACTCAGTTTTGAGACTTAGCCCGCCAGGCTTCTCTGTCCAAGGATTTTCCAGGCAAGAATACTGGAGTGGGTTGCCATTTCCTCCTCCAGGTGATCTTCCTGACCTGGGATTTATCGAACAGCACCACCCCACCCCACCCCCCACACCCCCCTGCACCCCCGTCTCCTGCGTTGACAGAGATTCTTTACCTCTGAGCCACCTGGGTAGCCCAGTTCTGGTCTTGACTGCTTCCTTTTCCAAGGACAGTCCCATGGCTGTGCTGTAATCATCTTTTGTCTCTGCAGGGCCTCTCACTCTGAGCTTAGTGCCTGGCATATGAGTGACTGATGACTGCTAGCTTGGCAGATGAATTTAGAATATGACATGAATTTAGAATAAGACAATAGCTTAGAGATTTGTGTGACAGGTACATTTATTATTCAAATGAGTAAGGTAGAAACCTGGGACATGTACAGCTGTGATCATCTCTTGCTCATAAGGGAAATCATATTCCAAGAAACACTACTGGCAGGACACCCGGGTTGTTTTTTTGTAATAAGTTTGTTGAGATATAATTCATATGCCATACAATTCACCCATCTAAAGGATACATTCAGTGGGTTTTTTGTGTGTGTATAGCAGTATTAATTTTTAAAAGTTGTGATCAATATATATGACATAAAAGTTGCCATTTAAAAATGTCCAGTTCAGTGACTTAAATGAACATAAAGTTCATTTATGATGTACAGCCATCACCACTATTTCCAAAACATTTTCAACACCTTCAACTGATACTTCCTAAGTAAATGTTGAATGTATGAATGAATGTTGATAGTAGAATATTTTATGTGACCTTGATTTCTAACCTCTCTTCTAATTTGTTGTGTTGCCTTTTATGCTTTATATGAAATATAATTAAGATGGTACTAAACCTTATCTTAGTGTGGTAATATTTGAAATTCCTTAAAGTGAAAAATTGGGCAGTTCTTTCAAGTTTGTTGAATTACTGAACTTTCTAGAGTCTCTAAAAGTTGTAGAGCAAAATCTGAGTGATATCCCAAACTCTACTCTGATTTATGAAAGATACGTATCCTATGTTATATTATGCTATTTAGCTTACTCTATTGCTGTGTGTTTTTGCTTTGATAGTTCTAGGATACCATCCACTTTCATAGGAGATATCCTAAGAGGTATTTTTAAGGCTAGAAAAATCTACAAATATATAAGGTGCTAATTACAAAAAGGGATTTATTTTAGGTACAATGTATTTTGAATCTTTAGTTTTTATTCTAAAATGTTTAGCTTTTCTTTGCCTGTTGGGTTGCTTTTATGGGTGCCAAGGTCTTCTTTAATATCTTTTAAAAAAGCAGTTTGTCACATTTGGTTATTTCCAGACAAAAAAAAAGATTGACAATCTCCCATTTTTACAAGGAGAGAGAACCCTTGGAAATCTATATGGAAAAGACTAGACTAGAGTAGGTCTTGGAAGCAAAAAAATAGTTGAATTTATTATTCAATAGGTTTGGCAGGGGTACAATTGTTAATCCTAAATCTTCAAATGTGGATGGTTTTCTATGAATGTGAGTATTACATTTGCTTCTGATTTTTAGCATTATAGCCCAGATACTGTTTAGTTAATTACAGAGGTGTTCTGGACTCTGGATTTGGCTTGGACTCTTTTGGTGACCTGAGCAAACCATATAGCTTTTGTGAATTCATTATTGGCACTAGTAAATTAATTGGGTTTGAGTAAGTGGGCAAATTAAGTTTGCTCTTAAAAAGCAAACTGGCACATCCCTGGCTGCTTTCTGCACGCTTAACATTTCTTTGAAGTTATCTTTAGAAATTTTTTAAAATTATGTATTGTACCATAATACAGCTTTCTAAATTTTAATATGAATATTGAATTTTAAATTTGTTACTACCATGTAACATGACTGCCTCCAGAGGATGCATTCTGTTTATCCTGGGGTTTTCTGTATTCGCTGACCTACTGCCTCATACCCTTGGGGCTTCTTCTCAATTTGAGAAGCAGGGGACCCAGAGGACCTCTATGTCTCTTGCAACTCTGACATGGTATGATACTTGAAATAAACTATAGTTTATTCTCTTAGTTTTAGGAAATTATAAATCCATAACAGGGAAAAATATGACTGAGTGACTTGCATGATTTAATTTCTTTTCCTGACAATTAGAGATTCCAGTTCTATTGTATGTAAAAGCTGTTTCATCAGAAACTGCATGCATTTTAAGAAATGGATTGCAAAGTTAGAAAAACTCTTTGCTGCTCTCAATCTTTCCTTGCTTTCCTTGCACTTCTGCTTTTTTCTTTCCTGGCTCCTAATTGGATTAAAGACTGTTTTGCCAACCATGGCATCTGGAGATGACAGTCCTATCTTTGAAGATGACGAAAGGTAAATGTCTTGCATTGTGCTAAAACTGGGTTATGAAGCTTTAAAGATGGGCTTTAATCATTCAGGAGAGTATCCAGGCTACTTTTTTGGAGAACACATTTTGTAATACTGCAGAATGCATAGTTTTGCTTCACTGTGATTTCCAGCAAGGGTGGTGAACACCTGGCATGGAGGTGGCCATCACTAATGTGGCATCTTTTCCCATAAAACCTGGATGTGAGGTCTGCAAATCCCTCTCAGCACAAAATTCTTGGCAATCACTTCCAAAATGATATGAAACCTATTTACTGTTTCTGGTTTAGAGCCTACAAAAGAGATTAGAGTGAATGAAGAGGAGGATGTGGTTAAGAGAATAGACTCTGGGACCAGACTCCTAAAATTACATCCCATCTGCCACTTACTGTCATTGTGACCTTAGACAGGCCTTTAGCCTCTCTGAGTCTCGGTTTCCTCATCTGTAAATAGAGGAATAATAGTACCCACCTCATGGTGAGGATTCTTTGAGTTAATGTGTGTAAAGCTCTTAGAACAGTGATTGGCACACAGTAAGTACTGAATAACTGTTAGTTATGAACATTACTGCTGTAATGTTACTTCTCTCAAAGCTAAAACTCTGTATCAGTATAAAAATATTACTTATATGTTATATATGCATTATATATGATATATATTTTATATTAAGACATTAATATAAAATACATGTTTAAGTTGTACCAGAAATGTCACAAAACAGAATCCTTTATATTTTTAATAAGATTTCCTGTAAAAAAAAATTTCCTGTAATAATGACAAGATTACTGTCTTCCATAACATTTTTATATCTATTATGGAACATTTCTTCCATGACTTTTTTCTCAGTCTTAGTATTTGTGTTTTTTTTTAGTCTTAGTATTTTTACATTAGAACCTTTTTTTTAAAAAATGAATCCCTAGTTATTGGTTCAAGTATAAAAGGTTTTAAGAATTCTTGCTTTAGAGTGATAGGATCTGAAAAGATAAAAACAAAATTAAATCCTCTGCTTTTTAAATGACAGGAGGGAGGAGTAGAAACTTTTTACTGACCTTTCTGTGGCCAAGCTTAGAATACTGTCCTGGATAAACTGATTGATTCTTAATCCTATTACTGTTAAGGTGACTTTGGAATTATCTGACTGTATACCCATAGATAGTAATTTCATCTTAAAAGAAGAATGCATAACAGGGTGATAATAGTTACATGTATTGGAAGTAGGCTTTCTTACCTTATATCACTTTAATATTTTGTAATTTTAGGGCTTTTCAAGATCTGATATTTTCATCTTGGAAGGATTAATTGGTTATTCTGTTACTGTTTTTGCCTATTATAATTGCTTAATTTTATTCCCTTAGCCCTCCTTACAGCCTAGAAAAAATGACAGATCTTGTAGCTGTTTGGGAAGTTGCTTTAAGTGATGGAGTTCATAAAATTGAATTTGAACATGGGACTACATCAGGCAAGCGAGTGGTGTATGTAGATGGGAAGGTAGGAAAAAATGTTACTTTGTGAAATATAGTGTACAGAGAAGCTTGATTTTGCTAATGTATATTCTTCCTATGTGAATACAATGCTTTTCCCTTACAGTGGTTATATCTTTATATATTGGCTTGTATCATTTTGCCATGCAAAGCAGACTAATAATAGTTGTGGGATTCATAGACTATAACATCTAATATTTAACTTTAAAATGCCTTTATTTTCTAAAATCTTTGTATCATGAGGTAATAAAATCACATCTAAATAGCACTGCCATTTATTCTCTTTAATTATATTATTTCCAAAGTTAAACGTTTAATTTTCTCCCATTTGTATGTTTTTAACTTTCGTATTTTATTACTTAGGAAGAGATAAGAAAAGAATGGATGTTCAAATTGGTGGGCAAAGAAACCTTCTGCGTTGGAGCCGCAAAGACCAAAGCAACCATAAGTATTGATCCCGTCCGTGCTTTCGCTTATGAATATACTCTGGAAATTAATGGGAAGAGTCTCAAGAAGTATATGGAGAACAGATCAAAAACCACCAGTACTTGGGTATTACATTTGGATAGTGAGGACTTTAGAGTTGTGTTAGGTAAGTGAAAGCCATTTCTGCAGAATTTCTTTTTTTCCTCAGAATTTTTGAAAGCCTTTTTCCAGTCTCTTCTATCGTCCATGGTTTTGAATGAGAAGTTTACACCAGTCTGAATCTCATTACTTAGTATTTTTTTCTGTCTGGAAGCTTTTGGGGGCTCATTTTTATTTTCCAAAGTTTTACAGTGATGTGTTTAGAAATGTAGTGGCTCACCAGCTGCTTTATTTTTAGATGAAAAATGGTATTTCAGCATTTTTAAAAATTTGCCTTTTTTCAAAATTGAGTGAGGTTGATCCTCTTTTTATATGTAAGGTCCTTTTGTGTTTCGTTTCTGGTAATGCCTATGTGTTTCCTGTGACCTGTTTTCTTTTGGGTTGTTGGTCTTTATTCTCCTTGATTGCTAGGAGTCTTTCTGTTACTAAGTGCTGTAACAGAACTTAGTGCTGTGAGTTCTGAGTGCTGTGAGCTTCAGATATTTTTCTATTTGTCATTTATTGTATCATTTTGCTTCTGTGTGTGTGTATGGGTTATTTTAATCATGCAGAAATCTTTTTTACTTTCATGTAGTCAGAGTTGCTCCCTTTTTCTTTTATGGCTTCTGATTAGCAATGTTCTTCAGAGGAATGTTAATACCAGCTATTACAGAAAATCTGAGTACGTGTAACTGTTACAGAAAATCTGAGTATGTGTACATGTTCAGGAGGCCAACTAAATAAAATTCCAACTGTCACCTCCATCATGGTTTATTTGAGCACTGTGGGCTCCGATCGTGCCATGTGAGCTGGGTTTCCCACAACTGTGGCCTTGGATGCTTCCCATTCAGGCTGCCACTGGGTGGCCACTCCCATATCTCCTGGGCCCTCTGCCTTTCTCTCTGTGCCTCTAGCCCAGCTCCAAGTCCTTTCTCCACTCTCCAAGTGAGGCTCCTATCTCGAGGTGCAGGGAGAAAAGACCCTGTTCCTAGAGTAGATGGCTTGTCAGAGTCAAGGCACCTCATCCTTGACCCCCAGGCAGCCTTTGACCCCTAGACTCCTTGTAAACACACAGGTCCTGCCTCTCTCTAGTCTTTGTTATAACAACCAAAGCTTGTCTTCTGGCTGCTTGATGAGTATATCTTCTCTCCTGACACTCCTGGGAACCCTGACATTCACAAGTGGTTCTGGGGATCCTCCCCAAAATGCACGTATGTCTGTGCACATGGCACACATATAGCTCAGTTGGTAAAGAATCCACTTACAATGCAGAAGATGCCGGTTTGATTCCCGGGTCAGGAAGATCCACTGGAGAAGGGATAGGCTACCCAATCCAGCATTCTTGGGCTTGCCTTGTGGCTCAGCTGGTAAAGAATCTGCCGGCAACGCAGGACACCTGGGTTTGATCCCTGGGTTGGTAAAATCCCCTGGAGAAGAAAAAGGCTACCCACTCCAGTATTCTGGCCTAGAGAATTCCATGGTATAGTCCATGGAGTCACAAAGAGTTGGACAGTACTCAGTGACTTTCACTTTCACTGGAGTAAGCTGTGGCCACTTAGCTAATGCCCACGTGTATCATGGCAGCATTTTGCTCTATTGTGTCAGCACTGTAGTCAGCACAGTCCATGAAATACTATACCTATATTTCTCCTTATGAATCAATAACTTTTCCCCAAAGTGACATCATAACAAAATGAATACAGATTATTGTACTCTTCAGTATGAAATTTAAGACTAAATTGCTGTCTGTCTATATGAACCCTATGCAGCCTTTTTTGTGGTCTCTTTGTGCCATCATCCAGGTGGGTCAGTATGAGAGGCAGGGAGAATCATAAAGAAAATTTGGATAAGGATAAATTGGGAGTTTGGGATTAACAGACACACACTGCATATATAAAATAGATAACCAACAAGGACCTATTATATAGATCAAGGAACTCTATTCAGTATTTTGTAATAACCTATAAGGGAAAACAACCTGAAAAAGGAAAGCAATATTGGCTACAATCCAAAAAACAAAAATGAAAAAGGGATAAGTTTAAATATTATATTACTTGAAATATGTAGGCTTTTTTTAATATGTAGGTTTTTAAAAAGCCCAAAGCACTCTGTAATTTGTTAAATATATTGATATCCTAAATGGAAACATATTGTAATCCTGAGAGTGTGTAAACCCTTCTTTCATTCAATACCAGACCTTCAGTTCAGTTCAGTTCCAGTCGCTCAGTCGTGCCTGACTCTTTGCGACCCCATGAACCACAGCACGCCAGGCCTCCCTGTCCATCACCAGCTCCCAGAGTCCTCCAAAACCCATGTACATTGAGTCAGTGTTACCATCCAACCATCTCATCTTCTGTTGTCCCCTTCTCCTCCTGCCCTCAATCTTTCCCAGCATCAGGGTCTTTTCCAGTGAGTCAGCTCTTCGCATCAAGTGGCCAAAGTATTGGAGTTTCAGCTTCAACATCAGTCCTATCAATGAACACCCAGGACTGATGTCCTTTAGGATGGACTGGTTGGATCTCCTTTCAGTCCAATGGACTCTCAAGAGTCTTCTCCAGCACCGCAGTTCAAAAGCATCAATTTTTCGGTGCTCAGCTTTCCTTATAGTCCAACTCTCACATCCATACATGACCACTGGAAAAACCATAGCCTTGACTAGACAGACCTTTGCTGACAAAGTGATGTATCTGCTTTTAATATGCTGTCTAGGTTGGTCATAACTTTCCTTCCAAGGAGCAAGCGTCTTTTCATTTCATGGCTGCAGTCACCATCTGCAGTGATTTTGGAGCCCAGAAAAATAAAGTCAGCCACTGTTTCCACTGTTTCCCCATCTATTTGCCATGAAGTGATGGGACCAGATGCCATGATCTTAGTTTTCTGAATATTGAGTTTTAAGCAAACTTTTTCACTTTCTTCTTTCACTTTCATCAGCAGGCTCTTTATTTCTTCACTTTCTGCCATTAGGGTGGTATCATCTGCATATCTGAGGTTACTGATATTTCTCCCAGCAATCTTGATTCCAGCTTGTGCTTTCTCCAGCCCAGCATTTCTCATGATGTACTCTGCATATAAGTTAAATAAGCACGGTGACAATATAGAGCCTTGACAGACTCCTTTTCCTATTTGGAACCAGTCTGTTGCTCTACGTCCAGTTCTAACTGTTATTTCCTGACCTGCATACAGATTTCTCAAGAGGCAGGTCAGGTTGTCTGGTATTCCAATCTCTTTCAGAATTTTCCACAGTTTGTTGTGATCCACACAGTCAAAGGCTTTGGCACAGTCAATAAAGCAGAAATAGATGTTTTTCTGGAACTCTCTTGCTTTTTCGATGATCCAGCAGATGTTGGCAATTTGATCTCTGGTTCCTCTGCGTTTTTGAAAACCAGCTTGAATATGTGGAAGTTCACAATTGATGTATTGCTGAAGCCTGGCTTGGAGAATTTTGAGCATTACTTTACTAGCGTGTGAGATGAGTGCAATTGTTCGGTAGTTTGAGCATTCTTTACCAGACCTTAGAAATTTAATTAAAACATTTCAGATGATATGAAAAAAAAAAAGGATATTCTCATATGGAAAGTCTCTCCTTACATTCATTTGTCTGTATCCTCCTTTATAGATTTTCTTTAACAAATCTTCATCAGTATATATTATATCATGATTTTGTCTTAAAAGATTGGTTTCATTTTGATTATGTCTGGGAACAAAAAAACAGTTTCCTCATGTTTGGAAGAATTTCAAAGCCATGAAAAGTTAATGGAGTTTTTAAAATATAGTGTATCAGACTTTTCTTAAAATAATAAAGAGTTAAACTTATCTTTAAATTGCACGTTATAATTTTTTTCTAATCGGTTATTTTACAGAGAAAGACACTATGGATGTATGGTGCAATGGTAAAAAAATGGAGACAGCGGTAAGTTGATCATTTGATTACTGTCACCATGTCCATGAGTGATCAGTGAAACATTGCTGTGTTTCCTAACTATGCAGATTTGTATAATTAATGAAGGTCCTTTTGGTTATAAACAAAAAAGAGATGAAATAATCCTGTCTCAAGAATCTGAAGCCCTTTTCTTGGCAGTGCCTGGGGTAGTGAGAGTTTAGAAACAACTCATCTTGTGACTGGTACCAGCCTCAGACTCTGCTTGTCCTCTCCTGGACCATCCTCTATCCTAAAAAGATCTAACCCACATTTAAAAACTTCCTCCCCAAAGGTTGCATCCTCCTGTGTTATCCTGGTTTAAGTGGTGCTTTATACTACTGTTTCTCAGATTTGCATGCACAGAATCATCTTGGATCTTGTTAAAATGCATATTCTGACATGTCCTCAGGTGATGCCCAAGTTGCTGGCCCATGGTCACACTCTGAATAGGAAAGCTTTACACCATACACTCAAAACAGATGGTACTTTCTCAAAGCAAAGGTTGTGAAAAAGAAACGAAGCACACATGTCAGGTGAGACAAAGGCAAACAGGAAAGGGCACTGTCACAAACCCCAGAAGACAAGTGGGATTTGTAGACTAGCAGTGCTGAAAGGCTGCCCTGCTCGTTGTAGCTGAGAAACCCTAGTGTGTTGGACTTCTGCTGCCTTGCACTGTTATGGCTGTGGTGGGATGAGTATAGAAGTGAATTTCAAGTAGGTAGGAAATAATAGTGGTGTGCACAGCAGAAGGAGGAAGTGAAGCAGAGGAGATGGTCCTGGACACAGGGAGTGTGGGCCTAGGAGCTGGAATGACTTGGGGGGAAATATCCACGTGTTATGGGATCAGGTGGCAAGTAGCACGTACCATCCTGGGTGTCCCCTTTCGTGCTGACTCCAGTTGTGACACCACAGCTAGAGATGATGAAAATCATGAGAAGCTCTCTTTGCCAGGTATACTGTAGCTAGCTACCTATTGTGGTTGCTGCTATTACCTTCTTTTTCTGTTGTAGGTTTGGAAGGGTGAGATGTCCTTGGAGGGAAGGCCTGGAATGAATTTATTCAGTAGACAAGCTAGAATCTGCCGGGTGGGCCTTGCAACTGCTTCTAAGGAAGTGCACAAGCCAGAAATCAAAAGTTACAAAGATTAATGTGTTTCTGTGTCTTAATCCTGGTATTAATTCTTGAAGGGACATGCAACCAGGGTTCACTAAAAATTGAACCTCAGTATTTGAGCCATCCTCTGGGTTCCATCTACCCATTGAGACTTTTATGCAGAGAGGCTTAATGAGCTCTTCAATATTTTAGGGCCTGTTTTGGACCAGATTCAGTGACCATTAACATGGATTGGGTACCTGCTGTCATGCCTGATGCCATACCTGGTGGTCCTTTCTGTTCTTTCTATCCTACCACGGAAATTTCTAGATGAAGAGTCAGCAGTTTGGGGTCACATTCCCTCCAACCCTCCAGGAATTCTCCCGTGCAAAAGTAGCATTGTTTCAAGAATGTGGTTGTAAATAAGCAAGAAGTTGAAATAATATCCATCCACAATGTCTTTGTTCCTAACTGACAAGAAGCCACAAGTGTCTGGACAATAACTCTCTCTCACCCAATTGTCTCCTCCTTGTAACTGCAGCCTTCTTGGCAAGGTAGTTTTGGCAGCTCTGTGTCGGGCAGCCTTCCCAGCACTATGCACACCTGCTCTCGCTGCTTGTGAGCTGCAGCTTATTTTCTCCATTTCCTTTTCATTTCAAAGCATCATGACCAGATTATGTACCTGTCAAATTGCCAAGAAGCAACTTACAAGGATTCTAGTACTCAACCCTTTCTCTCCTCTCTAAATTGATATTTACAGAAGTATGCCCTAAAGCCTTTTTTCAAAGCTCAATGTGAAAAGGGCTAAAAGAATACACTGGACTCCAGGATCAGCACCCCACCCCCAGTCCTTGTGGTGGTCAGTACACATCCATGTTGGCCAGATTCTTCCCAGAGCCAAGAAAAAGCTTCCCTCTCTGATGCCTCCTGTGCTTTCTTTGGCTAGATAATGTTAGCAACGGGGCCTTGATCTGTCTGCTTTGGCTGCCAGGAAGCTCATAGCCAAGTTGTACATCTGATAGTGCTTCTTTTGCTTCTTGGCATAGTTCATTTTTATCCTCTAAACCTCATGCTCTTCCTTACTTTTCTGTGCTACTTGGCCCCTATCTTTTCACTCTAAATCAATGCTGTTCAATAGAAATATAGTATGAGCCACAGATATGAGCTTCATGTATAACTTTTCTAGTAACCACATTTTGAAAGTCTTATGGTGAAGATTATCTTAATAAAAATTTAAGTCACTGTATCAAAAATATTATTATTTAAAATGTAATAAATATATAAAGTTTTCAATGAGTGTTTTTTTTAAACGATTCTTTGTTTCATACTAAGTCTTCCAAATCCAGTGTATTTTTTCTTTTCTTTTTTTAAAATCCAGCTAAGTTTCTCTGGCATGTGGGATCTTCCTGGGTAAGCGATTGAAGTTGAGTGTCTTGCATTGTCAGGCAGAGTCTTTACCACTGAGCCACCAGAGAAGCCCCTTCAGTGTATTTTTTCCCCCTTTAATAATGTATCTCATTTCAGACTCACCACATTTCATGCTCGATTGCCACCTGTGGCCAGGGGCTATTGTACCATATACAGCAAGTCTAGACTCAGTTCAATTCAGTTCAGTCGCTCAATCTGTTGAACTCTTTGTGACCCCATGGACTGCAGCACGCAGGCTTCCCTATCCATCACCAACTCCTAGAGCTTACTCAAACTCATGTCCATCGAGTCAGTGATGCCATCCAACCATCTCATCCTCTGTCATCCCCTTCTCTTCCCACTTTCAGTCTTTCCCAGCATCATGGTCTTTTCCAGTGACTCAGTTCTTCACATCAGGTGGCCAAAGTATTGGAGTTTCAGCTTCAGCATCAGTCCTTCCAATGAATATTCAGGACTGATCTCCTTAAGGATTGACTGGTTGGATTTCCTTGCATTCCAAGGTACTCTCAAGAGTCTACTCCAACACCACAGTTCAGAAGCATCACTTCTTCAGTACTCAGCTTTCTTTATAATCCAACTCTCACATCCATACATGACCACTGGAAAAAACATAGCCTTGACCAGATGGACCTTTGTTGGCAAAGTAATGTCTCTGCTTTTTAATATGCTGTCTAGGTTGCTCATAGCTTTTCTTTCAAGGAGCAAGTGTCTTTTAATTTCATGGCTGCAGTCACCATCTACAGTGATTATTTTTGAACCCAAGAAAATAAAGTCTCTCACTGTTGCCATTGTTTCCCCATGTATTTGCCATGAAGTGATGGGCTGCCATGATCTTAATTTTCTGAATGTTGGGTTTTAAGCCAGCTTTTTCACTCTTCCTTTTCACTTTCATCAAGAGGCTCTTTAGTTCTTCACTTTCTGCCATAAATGTAGTGTCATCCACTGTAAAAGCAGTGCTAAGGGGAAGGTTCATAGCATTACAGGCTTACCTCAAGAAACAAGAAAAAAGCCAAATAAACAACCTAACTCTACACCTAAAGCAATTATAGAAGGAAGAAATGAAGAACCCCAGGGTTAGTAGAAGGAAAGAAATCTTAAAAATTAGGGCAGAAATAAATGCAAAAGAAACTAAAGAGACCATAGCAAAAATCAACAAAACTAAAAGCTGGTTTTTTGAAAAAATAAACAAAATTGACAAACCATTAGCAAGACTCATTAAGAAACAAAGGGAGAAGAACCAAATTAACAAAATTAGAAATGAAAATGGAGAGATCACAACAGACAACACTGAAATACAAAGGATCATAAGAGACTACTACCAGCAGCTCTATGCCAATAAAATGGACAACTTGGAAGAAATGGACAAATTCTTGGAAAAGTATAACTTTCCAAAACTGAACCAGGAAGAAATAGAAGATCTTAACAAACCCATCACAAGCAAGGAAATCGAAACTGTAATCAGAAATCTTCCAGCAAACAAAAGCCCAGGACCAGATGGCTTCACAGCTGAATTCTATCAAAAATTTAGAGACGAGCTAACACCTATCTTACTCAAACTCTTCCAGAAAATTGCAGAAGAAGGTAAACTTCCAAACTCATTCTATGAGGCCACCATCACCCTAATTCCAAAACCAGACAAAGATGTCACAAAAAAAGAAAACTACAGGCCAATATCACTGATGAACATAGATGCAAAAATCCTTAACAAAATTCTAGCAAACAGAACCCAACAACATATTAAAAAAATCATACACCATGACCAAGTGGGCTTTATCCCAGGAATGCAAGGATTCTTTAATATCCACAAGTCAATCAATGTAATACACCACATTAACAAATTGAAAGATAAAAACCATATGATTATCTCAATAGATGCAGAGAAAGCCTTTGACAAAATTCAACACTCATTTATGATTAAAACTCTCCAGAAAGCAGGAATAGAAGGAACATACCTCAACATAATAAAAGCTATATATGACAAACCCACAGCAAGCATCACCCTCAATGGTGAAAAACTGAAAGCATTTCCCCTGAAATCAGGAACAAGACAAGGGTGCCCACTCTCACCACTACTATTCAACATAGTTTTGGAAGTGTTGGCCACAGCAATCAGAGCAGAAAAAGAAGTAAAAGGAATCCAGATAGGAAAAGAAGAAGTGAAACTCTCTCTGTTTGCAGATGACATGATCCTCTACATAGAAAACCCTAAAGACTCTACCAGAAAATTACTAGAGCTAATCAATGAATATAGTAAAATGGCAGGATATAAAATTAACACACAGAAATCCCTTGCATTCCTATACACTAACAATGAAAAAACAGAAAGAGAAATTAAGGAAACAATACTGTTCACCATTGCAACAAAAAGAATAAAATACTAAGGAGTATATCTACCTAAAGAAACAAAAGACCTATACATAGAAAACTATAAAACACTGATGAAAGAAATCAAAGAGGACACAAACAGATGGAGAAACATACCATGTTCATGGATTGGAAGAATCAATATTGGCAAAATGGCTATTCTACCCAAAGCAATCTATAGATTCAATGCAATCCCTATCAAGCTACCAACGGTAGTTTTCACAGAACTAGAACAAATAATTTCACAATTTGTATGGAAATACAAAAAACCTCGAATAGCCAAAGTAATCTTGAGAAAGAAGAATGGAACTGGAGGAATCAACCTGCCTGACTTCAGGCTCTACTACAAAGCCACAGTCATCAAGACAGTATGGTACTGGCACAAAGACAGAAATATAGATCAATGGAACAGAATAGGAAGCCCAGAGCTAAATCCATGAACCTATGGTCACCTTATCTTTGACAAAGGAGGCAAGGATATACAATGGAAAAAAGACAACCTCTTTAACAAGTGGTGCTGGGAAAACTGGTCAACCACTTGTAAAAGAATGAAACTAGAACACTTTCTAACACCATACACAAAAATAAACTCAAAATGGATTAAAGAGCTAAATGTAAGACCAGAAACTATAAAACTCCTAGAGGAGAACATAGGCAAAACACTCTCTGACATAAATCACAGCAGGATCCTCTATGACCCACCTCCCAGAATATTGGAAATAAAAGCAAAAATAAACAAATGGGACCTAATGAAACTTAAAAGCTTTTACACAACAAAGGAAACTATAAGCAAGGTGAAAAGACAGCCCTCAGAGTGGGGGAAAATAATAGCAAATGAAGCAACAGACAAAGGATTAATCTCAAAAATATACAAGCAACTCCTCCAGCTCAATTCTAGAAAAATAAATGACCCAATCAAAAAATGGGCCAAAGAACTAAACAGACATTTCTCCAAGGAAGACATACAGATGGCTAACAAACACATGAAAAGATGTTCAACATCACTCATTATCAGAGAAATGCAAATCAAAACCACAATGAGGTACCATTACACGCCAGTCAGGATGGCTGCTATCCAAAAGTCTACAAGCAATAAATGCTGGAGAGGATGTGGAGAAAAGGGAACCCTCTTACACTGTTGGTGGGAATGCAAACTAGTACAGCCACTATGGAAAACAGCGTGGAGATTTCTTAAAAAACTCGAAATAGAACTGCCGTATGACCCAGCAATACCACTTCTGGGCATACACACCAAGGAAACCAGATCGGAAAGAGACACGTGCACCCCAGTGTTCATTGCAGCACTGTTTATAATAGCCAGGACATGGAAGCAACCTAGATGCCCATCCACAGATGAATGGATAAGGAAGCTGTGGTACATATACACCATGGAATATTACTCAGCCATTAAAAAGAATTCATTTGAATCAGTTCTAATGAGATGGATGAAACTGGAGCCTATTATACAGAGTGAGGTAAGCCAGAAAGATAAAGAACATTACAGCAAACTAACACATATATATGGAATTTAGAAAGATGGTAATGATAACCCTATATGCAAAACAGAAAAAGAGACTCAGATGTACAGAACAGACTTTTGGACTCTGTGGGAGAAGATGAGAAGGGGATGTTTCGGAAGAACAGCATGTATATTATCTATAGTAAAACAGATCACCAGCCCAGGTGGGATGCATGAGACAAGTGCTCGGGCCTGGTGCACTGGGAAGACCCAGAGGAATCAGGTGGACACGAGGGAGGTGGGAGGGCGGATTGGGATGGGGAATACATGTAACTCCATGGCTGATTCATGTCAATGTATGAGAAAACCCACAGAAATGTTGTGAAGTAACTGGCCTGCAACTAATAAAAATAAATGAAAAAAAAATGTAGTGTCATCTACATATCTGAGGTTGTTGATTTTTCTCCCGGCAATCTTGATTCCAGCTTGTGCTTCATCTACCCCAACATTTCACATGATGTACCCTGCATATATGTTAAATAAGCAGGGCGACAATATACAACCTTGACGGACCCCTTTCCCTATTTGGAACCAGTCTGTTGTCCCATGTCCAGTTCTAACTGTTGCTTCCTGACCTGCATACAGATTTCTCAAGAGGCAGGTCAGGTGGTCCGGTATTCCAGTCTCTTTCAGAATTTTCCAGTTTGTTGTGATCCACATAGTCAAAGGCTTTGGCATAATCAATAAAGCAGAAGTGGCTGTTCTTCTGGAACTCTCTTGCTTTTTCGATAATCCAGTGGATGTTGGCAATTTGATCTTCGGCTCCTCTGGCTTTTCTAAATTCAGCTTGAATATCTGGAAGTTCATGGTTCACATACTGTTGAAGCCTTACTTGGGGAATTTTGAGCATTACTTTGCTAGCGTTCAAGATGAGAGAAATTTTTGTGGTAGTTTGAACATTTTTTGGCATTGCCTTTCTTTGGGATTGGAATGAAAACTGACCTTTTCCAGTCCAATGGCCACTGCTGAGTTTTCAAAATTTGCTGGGATATCGAGTGCAGCCCTTTTACAGCATCAGCTTGTATGATTTGAAATAGCTCAACTGGAATTCCATCACCTCCACTAGCTTTGTTTGTAGTGATGTTTCAAAAGGCCCACTTGACTTCACATTCCAGGATGTCTGGCTCTAGGTGAGTTATCACACCATCATGGTTATTTGCGTCATGAAGATCTTTTTTGTATAGTTCTTCTGTGTATTCTTGCCACCTCTTCTTACAGTAGTGTTAGGTTTTATGTTATTTACATTATGTATTTATTGTAAGCCACCTTGTAGCCTGAGGAATCCGATTTTCTGAGTGGTGAACAACACTCCATCTCTCACTGACTGGGGTCTTCAGCAAATTATTTAATGACTGTGTGCCTGTGTTCTCATGTATAGAATATGATAATAATTATACTCCAATCAGGTTATTGTGAGGATGCCATAATGCAATGCATGTAAACCATTCTTTGTATAGAAGGAATCACAAATTTCCTATCATTTTCACTTTTGTAAATAGTCTATATTTTCTGTATAGTATATGTTATAGACACATAGCCACAAGGTATACTTCTTTTTTTTCCCTCTGAAACTTAAGATTCTTAAAGACTACAGTGGTACAAATAAATAAGACTTTCAATTTATAACCGAGACCTAAAAACAAGCTTCTAATCTTGCAAAGCTTACCATTGAGGTAACATGTACTTCATTATGTCTCCCTTTCTCAGTGATGTTAATGCTCTGGACAAATATAAATGTTTCTGGAACACTAATTCCTCCTCCTTTTGTTTGCCTAGGGTGAATTTGTAGATGATGGGACCGAAACTCACTTCAATATTGGGAATCATGACTGTTACATAAAGGCTGTCAGTAGCGGCAAGCGGAAAGAAGGGATTATTCATAGTCTCATTGTGGATAACAGAGAAATCCCAGAGATTCTGAAATGACTTCATGTTAATGAATTTTAATCTTAAGAAGTAAAGATCAGGACTTTTAAATTACTGTGGTAATTAAATATGCTTAGTATGTACTTTTCAGTACATCTAGTCACCTTGTTTTTATTTTATAGTTACTTGAAACTAGTGTTTTAAGCATCAGGAAAAAAAATGTATCATAAAAGTTGCAATCTATTTTGTAAATAATATAAAATGTTTTAAAGTCAAATGGAAAATAAGATATGGACCAAAAAATCACTAATGTTTTACAGGAGCAACTTTTACTATAATAAACACTATAAAATAACATCGGTGCTACTTGATTTGTCTTTCTTGAAATGGATGTCTTTGTATATATTTTTTACAATGGATTTCTAACCAATGTATTCACTTTAAACTTTTTTTTGTTTTTATTTTTTGGCTGCACTGTGTCTTCATTGCTGTGTGTGGGCTTTCTCTAGTTGTGATGAGCAGGGGCTACTCTTCATTGCGGTGCACAGGCTTCTCATTGCAGTGGCTTCTCTCATGGAGCACAGACTACAGAGCAGGGATTTGAGGCAGGAGACAGTGGGTCTCTGGGCCAGAAACCTGGTATTTGTCAAGTGGAGTAAAACTGAGCCTTTGTTCTCACCCAGATATTCCAAGGACAAAGCTAGTGGTAGAAGCTGAGTTCTGCTAAAGCAAAGAGATAAGGTGCCCACTCCTAAGGTCAAGGAAGACTTCCCTGTCTCTACATGGGCAGGAAGTCTTCTGGGGAGTAGAAAAATGAGGGGACCCACTCCATAATCAGTGTGGATATGCAGCCATAGGCTTCTACAGTGGGATCCATCTTAGCAAAAAGTTGTACATACATCTTGGGGCGGATCTATGGGCCACTCAGGTGTGAAGAAAGAAACAGTTGGCCAAGAGTAAACAAAGACCCAGAAGGACTGTCCTAATAAGTGAATGACATCACCTCAGTACTGTGCTGCTCCTCCTCACTCAGGACACCCGCATTTCTCTCCAGGTGTGTCTCCGCCTGGTGTCTGATGTACTGCACTCCTCACTCAGGATGCCCACACTCCCCTCTGGGTGTGTCTCTGCCTAGCGTCTGATGTACTGCACTCCCCATTAGAGAGGCTGCGCATATCCTTTGTCTTGGGTGTGCATCTCTGCCCTGCTTCTGAGTTGGATAAGCAAACTGGTTTCCTATGTGCTCTCCCATACATTGTGCTGTGCCTCTGAATAATAAACTTTCTACTTGTTTTTACAGTTTTTGCCTCCTTGAAACATTCTTGCTTTCAAACAGGGGCAAGAACCAGGGTCACTTTGCTCCTAGGCCCGAGTCCCTGGGGGTCTGGTGGGTAGGACTCTTGGTTTTCATTCAGGCTACTGCTAAGTCACTTCAGTCGTGTCCAACTCTGTGCGACCCCATCCCTGGGATTCTCTAGGCAAGAACACTGGAGTGGGTTGCCATTTCCTTCTCCAACGCATAAAAGTGAAAAGTGAAAGTGAAGTCGCTCAGTCATGTCCGACTCTTCGAGACCCCATGGACTGCAGCCTACCAGGCTCCTCTGTCCATGGGATTTTCCAGGCAAGAGTACTGGAGTGGGGTGTCATTGCCTTCTCCGTTAATTCAGGCTACTCGGGTTTAATTCCTTGCTAGGGAACTAAGATCTCTCTTCAGGACCATTCACTGCTCTTCTTCCGAGATCAGGCTCAGTAGTTGCGGGGCTTGGGCTTTGTTGCTCCATGGCCTGTGGGATCTTCCCGGACCAGGAATCAAATCCATGTCCCCTGCCTTGGCAGGTAGATTCTTAACCACTGGACCACTAGGGAAGTCCTTTTTGTATGTTTTTAACCTGTGCAGATATATTGTCTAGTTTGAAGCAGTTGTTGTTCAATGATATTAGCTTAATTGGAGAAAATGAGAAATTTTCAGAAACTTAAGGAAATGTCAAATAGTGTCACATAAAAATTTAATTTAGAATAGGTTTCTGAAAATGTAATTGTTTTCATTTCATCACCACAAGGCCCCCCCCCAAAAAAGAGGAAGAAACAAAGCTTCTTTACACCAGACAGCATCAGTGCATCATCAGGAAGTGTTTAAAAAGTCAGAGTTGAATGTGGAGGTAGCACCAGTGTTAGCATTTTGTGAATGAAGCAGGCCCACCCAGGCAGACTCACAGAGTCTACTCATCTCTGAAGTTCTTTCAAGGCAGGACAGTTTAATAGAAGAGCCTTTTATCAGGGTATTTCATGTCTATTATCACATGGGGATCCTCCATGAGAGGGAGAATACTCCATTTTCTAGACTTTTTCTGTCCCATACAGTAGCCATTAGTCATGTAACTATTCAAGTTAAATTAATTGAAATACAATTGAGTGAAAAACACTCAATTCCTCTATCACGCCGACCACATTTCAGGTCCTCAGCAGTCACACAAAGCTAGCAGCTACCACGCTGGACAAACAGAACATTTCCATGGTCACACCAAGTTCAACAGAACAGCACTGGCCTAGAGACATTTTCTCAAGTTTAGTGAGCTGTTTTGTACTAGCACAGTCAGGGTTTAAGCCCAGGTTTTTCAAATGCTAAACCCCATTAGCTTTACTACTCTCCCCCTGCCACTCACTTATTTCTAAGAGATGTGTGGCAGAACAGAAGTATAACCATGCTCTAACATAAGACAGAGAAACTGTGAGGAGAACAGTAAGGGAAGGTGGCCTGCCTGGCTTCATGCGTTGCCTACTCTGACATTTGTTTTATTTGAAGCCTTATGACTGGCAGATCAGCACACCAACGTTACAAAAACCATCCTCTTGCTTTTCCCATGCCACCCCACACTTTCCTTCACTGCCACTGAAAGACAAGGAGATGAACTAAGAGGGAGGATTCTGAGGCTTATTAAACTCATTTTGCATTTGCTTTCAAGTATTTGGGTGTGGTGGTTTTCATGTGAATCCCTTGAATAAAGGGCGTCTTTTAATGGCCATATTTCGTCTGGTACAAAAAATATTTTGTCCCATGTCCCAAAGTAAACCAATTATTTTGAGTCACTTTGTTTTGAACTCTGATTCAGTCTTTTGAAGATCAAACCTTGTGAATATAGTTTGCCTTTGACTTGGTGAACTCATGTTTTTTGGTTAGTTTTGTAAATTTAAAGCAGCATATTAATGAGGAAGGGGTACAGCCTATGTTTGAACTTCAGCACCAAAGGTTAACTTTTCTTTTTGTTTTAATACTGTATTTTATTTACCTGGTATACAAAATTTAATTGCAACATGCAATCAGAATACAGATTATAAGGCAGTTTATATCTTCTATTTTTAAGTTCTTGAGCCTCAATTTCTCCATCCTAACAAATAAAGCTATTTGTTTTGTTTAGTTTAATGGGATGGTTTAGATGTACAAAAAATAGAAAGTAATATGACAAGCCTTGTATTATTTTGCTGGGTGCATCTATCATCTAGTTTAGTAATTAAAGCAATAAAATACAACTGAAGAGCCACATGCCCTTGCTATACCCATACTTCTCCCTTGCCCAAGTAATCACTATCATGAACTTGATGATTATTATCCCCATGCAAGTCTGCATTCTTTATCTGTATAGGTGTACAGCCCTAAAAATATTACTTAAAATGTTAAATGTTAGATTCTATAGATTCTTCCTGAAACTTGCTTTTTTCCCATTCAGTACTGATTTTAAGACAGATCTGGTGTGTACATGTAACTTCAGTGCCTTCTAACTCTTGCATTCAACCGTATGAATTTGCCATCCACTTGCCTCAGTAGTTTTCAAATGATCACTATAGCATCAGAGCTCTAACAAACATCTTTGTGGCTCTGTGTATGTCCCTTGAGGATATGCCAGTTTCTCGTGGGCTTAGCTATTTAAACTGTGTACCTGGACCAGAAGCAATGATGTCACCTAGGAGCTTTTCAGAAATTAAGAATCTCATGAATTGGGAGATTGGGCCTGACATATATACACTACTGTTTATAAAACAGGTAAGTAATGAGACCCTACTGCATGGAACTCTACTCGATGCTCTATGGTGACCTAAATGGGAAAGAAATCCAAAAACAGTGGGGATATATGTATGGCTTATTCACTTGCCTGGCTGTACAGCAGAAACTGACCCAGCAATGTAAAGCAACTATACTCCAATTTAAAAAGGAAAAGAAAAAAAAGAAGAAAAAAACCCCAGAATCTCAGATCTTTCCAGCCTAACAAATCAGAATCTGGTTTTAACTAGATCCTGTGGTGATGTGTATGTACATCAAAGATTGAGAAGCACTGCTGTAGGTACACCACAAAGTAGAATTGCTGAATGAAAAATCAGCGATTTATCAAAATGCTCTTAAAGGTGGTTGTGCCACTATAAACTTTGACCAGCAGTTTTTTACCTCAAATCCTCAAAATTTGATACAATCAGGATCTCAGAATTATGCCAATCTTTTCAAAAAATTGTATGTCAATTTAATTTTCTCTGATCACTAATTGGGTGTCTTACATGTTTATTGGCCATTCAGATGTCCTTTCTCAAGAATTACCTTTTTCATTTCTTTTGCCTATTTTTTTGTTGATATGTAATCCAGTGACTGTAGTCTTTCCCTGATAGCAGTACAAAATGTGCAACAGGTCAACAAGTCTCCTAGTCATGCTTCACACACTATTTATACCCTCTAATGAGCTCTGAAGGCAGGCCTCATGTACTGCTGTATGCCCAGGATCTAGCACCCTCACAGATGAAGGGCAGTGGGATTTGTATTACTGTAGCCAGCTCAGAGGAGAGATTTGGAATGGAGATATAAAATGAGCATCATTAGCATATAGAAGAGATTTAATGCAATGGAAAGGAGTAACATCAACTAGGAAGGCTGTAGAGAAATGAAAAAGGACAATTAAATCCTGAAGGGCTATAGTATTTAGGCAAGGGAAATCTTCAATGAGGAAGGAAATTCTAAAGCTATCAAGCAAAAGACAGACTTTGATTATCTAGAAATCTAAATGTTCTATAGTAAAGGA